GGACTCCTACTCGCTCGATGACTCAATGACGTCTTTGCCGGTGGTGGCTGGAGAGGATGATTTGGTGGGATGATGTTTCGCACCGTGACGTCGCACATGCTCCTTCAAGGTCTCTCTGCTAGGAGCTGTCAGTCCTTGAAGGCGTGCAGCCTTCGGTTGTCCCTTTGGATGATTGGGTACCCCTCTCGACTTCTGGATGTTATGAGGATGTCGTTGACGTCGATCAGTGTTCTGGATAGACTGGCTACAACTATATATGCCCATCACTTTCTCTCCTACCGGGCGCTGCTTTGATCTTTCCTTTTGCGGCAGGATCTGGCCTGCCGGTCTGTTCATTGTCACCGCCGCGGTGTTCCTTCTCATGACGTCTTCGCGCACCTTGGTCCATAAAAGTTTTCAAGCAGTAATAACATTTAAACAATTTACCATGGTAGACTGTGACCCAGTGCCTTTTGAGTTGGGAAAGTTCTTTGAAGCACTTTGGGCATTCCGGGCAATGGTGTGGTCTGTTATCGCTGTGGTGAACTCGCATATGTGGGCCACATTCCTGACATTTGTCTTGCAAATCTTACATTTGTGTCACTGACGATGACGTCTGAACCCCTCAACAGTTCGAAGAAAGTTTGAACACACCTCACACTTGGCCAGAGCGTTGTCCGTCCACCATGGAGGCCCTTTTTGTAATTTCTTAATTAAAAGAAAAATTTTCGGCCAAATGCGATGACCTTCCATCTAATCATACCTCCGTCCATGCTGAACAATCTACATGTAGTTTAGTCACCCTTAAGGTAGGGACTTCCCCTTGGCCGTTTACATTTCGCCAGAGCTGCTAGCCAAGTCCCATGTGACTCTGTGCTTATCTCTCTTCCACATGGCTTTATTAGGTTTATTTACAAAAACGGTGCCTGTGCAAGCCAGGGCCTGTCTTATGTCAATGTTTGGTCTCGTCTCTGATGTTTCTCTGGGTAGTCTAGACAGCTGACTGAGTAGTTTCATTGTGTTGGCAACAATTTTTTGTTGACTGCGGTACCCCCCTATTGACTGGAAAAAGGGTACCGTGACCGTACTCTAACTTTTTTCTGCGTTTTTTTTTTATTTCCAGGCACAGCGGGACACCCTCTGATCAATTTAATTAAAAGCCGATGAAATATGGACACAGTGTCTTCTTCCTGGATCATTGAACATTTGACCTTTCACATTGAAAGCTGTTCGGGTGATATTTTTAGCAGTTTCCTACATCTTGAAAACAGTTTCCTTTTGTCGGCGTAAACACAAACACGAATCGACCAATTAAAAGCAACACATAATTGAAGTTCGAATGAAGTTTAATTCGTGACATGAAAAGCACGGCCTTTTGTTCAAGGCAGATGCAACGACACAGCGTCGGATTGTTCTCATTTTAGGAAAGATAGAGAACAAAATTTGTCCACCATCAGAGGCTCAAATCGAATAAATCGCTACAATCAAGCAACTTAATGAAGAAAACAAGTCATCTATCCAACAAAACCAACAGGTCATCGATCAGTCGTTGCACTAGGCCCTCTATCCGGCAACGACTGAGTTGGCACCAACACAGCCACACTACGCGTATATTTCATAGTCGTTTGTGAACCAGCAAAATGCAGTTCCGATCAATAAACTGCTGTCTAAATCGTTCCTTTACTGACAGTGTTTTAAATACTCGAAGCTAATTCATGTAAAATTAAGCAATGATAACTTCCCAATATGCAACACTCATTAATTATTTCGAAAAAAATGAAAAACACAACTAGAATACCACCTCAAATCAAGGCTTATCTTCCATTGTAAAGTCTTTCGAAAGATTTTTCTTGATTTGCAAGCATGATCTGCTTAATCCTTTGATTGTTAATTCATCCAAAATAATATAATTTTTTTACAAAACATTGTCGCCAGGTCTCGCGGTTTCTCACTGCGTCTTCAAAAAAATTAGTACAAAACAGATATAGCAGTAAAACTTATAAGTTACCGTGAAAGGATAAGTGCAGAAATTACTTTAATTATATATGAATATTTTAAGCCAAGAAAACTATATTAAATTTTTGAACAAAATCAGTTATCAGACACGAAGTTTGCTAGCGGCCAACATGTGGAGAAACATCATCCCTTACCCTTTATCCTTTGGATTTTAAAAGAAGAAAGGACTTTTGCCTCCTTTTTTGTTTTTTTGTGCTGTTCCATCGTTTGCATCTTTCCACAAATCCAATTTCCCAGCTTTCAAAGCTTTTCGTTGCTGCCATAGGTCATTGTGACCTCGTAGATGCTTTCATCCAGCTTGTGAAGGGTGATATAATCCTGTTTACATGAAATGAATGGTATCTGCTGTAAAGAAACGAGGCTTTGATAGCAGAATGCCACTTTGCAAGCATGCCGGTAATATAGTTTTGCATGATGTGATATAGATGCCACGCTACTAAATGAGGCTCAAGCCGATTTCATATTGAAACGAGCAACTTTCCACGTAAAAAGAAGAAAATCTAGGCTACAAATAGGAAAAGTAAATTTATGCATTTTGCCAAACAAAAAAGAAAAGAACGAAGTACCTAGGAGAACTTAACCCACGGACCTCGTTAATACTAACTGGTAACTTTTCCATTGTCCACCACACTACGTAAGAAAGTTCCTCCAAACTCCCTTTTCCGTCCCTTTGTGCCTACCACCGCACGTAATATGGGAAAGCTGTTATCAAGCTCATGTGCCTATTATAACGTATCACCGGCATGCTTCTTACATGGCATTTGGCTCAGTAACAGCGGGGGATAGTCGATCAGGTTCACCTTCATTAAATGTATAAGCCTCATGCTCATTCCACACTACCTTTGGTCTTATACACAGTACGGGGAAGGTTGTTCAGCTTTCATATTATTTTCAGCATGCTGCATTCTCTTGTGCACTTTTAATCCCAAATGAACAATTTAAATAATAGAAAATGATTCAGTAATATCTTTGTAATACGACGTTCTTTATTATAGTAGAGACAATCCACTTTGTGACATTTTATTAATGATCGATGAAAGATAAGTATTACCTACCTCGTGCACCGACAACATTTCGTTTAGTTGTTGGTGTAGACTCTGGAAGGTTGGTCGATCCGTGGGAATCTTCTGCCAACACCTGCACATCATGGCATACCTGATGAGACATAATACATGCAACTTAGTAGGAGAAGATAGATGAAGAACAGTGTTGCTATCCCCATCCTGTTCAATAACTAACGTATCTATGACGCAAGCAGACAGATAAAGATGAAAATGTTGCCCGGCACAGACAAGCTCTGTTTATTTGAGTGTGGATTGAACTGTAATAGGTGGGTCATGTATACATATGCACTTCATGTAGCAGAAACGCTTGTTCAACCATCCATTTCTGGAGGCTCAATCGACTCTTCTTTCGAGAAAACGAGCCATTGTATCAACTCGGGTTTGCTTTAGATGCTTTATGCTTACGTTTTACTTTCAAAGACCTTATGGATTTGCTTCAATTGTAGCACTGAAGAAAAAAACAGCGATCGTTTGTTGATACCTACAGCTCATTGCTGCAGTGCTGGGGTTTGGGCATACGATAGCCCTGCTGCAGTTGGCTCACCATCGTCTTGGCTTTNCATCATCGCGTATGGCCTGGCACCTGTGTGGAGTAAAGCTGGTTTCAGGGCATATTCACACTTTATTACCTACATATTTCGACATGTTGCCTTGTCATTTGAGGTCTAAACCGAATTATCCATTGGACGGGGTAGTAACTATGCCTGTGCAGAGGCACCCCCCTCATTGTTTGAAAAGAGCCATGGAAGTGGGGAGTGTACATTTTGTTGGTAGCAATGCCACCAAAGAGCATTCAAGTTCAATTACCACCAACGGACCTTAGGCTGCTGAGAAACCTGCGTCCTCTCTTGGTCCCACCCGTGGTGGAAAGGGTATATGAAAATTTGAGGGCCTGCAAATATTGGGGCCTCCAAGAGAAGGTGCAACGTAAGACACAAATACATGTACTAATATTTATGCACATACAAGAACGATTCCAGTGTGTCTATGTCACTTGTGTCATTTCTGGATAGCCTAAAGCAGTATACCAGGCAAGATGTGGGACGGAGGGGTAGCCCCCCTTACCTGTCCAATCCCTATACACACTCTAGACTATTGTTACCTAACACATCCCCCTACAAGTCTGTAAAGAATTCCTGAGATGCCGATCAAACAACGATCAACACAAAGGTGGGGGTTCTCTCCGTCCCATATCTTGCTTCAAATATCAAGCAGCAGGTACTTTGTTCATAGCTCACTAAAGCTAAGGGCGACGTTCCAGCTTTACCCAGCACTGTGGATTCGTGTCTGCATCACCGTGAATTGTGGCCATTGGAACGCTGTCGCTAATGCCTTAACATCTGTAGCCCGACCCACCTAATGGGATTAAATGGTGTTTAGAAGTAAGGGGGCCTACACTGCTTCTCAACTAGTCAACATTCCAGAACTCACCAAGAGTGATAATCTCCCACAGGAGAACCCCGAAAGACCATACGTCACTCTCTGTTGTGTACACGTCACTAAGCAAAGACTCCAAAGCCATCCAACGCATGGGAAGAGCTCCCTAGAAATCCAATTGAATCTACTTGTGAGAATAATTGTATCGCAGGGCAGGAATGTCTTTTATTACTGTAACTAGGGATTGGACACTTGTGCTCTTAATTCTTCATTCTTCTTAATTCTACTGTCCTAAATATTGCAAACACTGCAAGTCCATATTCTAGATAATCATATTCTGCAAGACTCTCCGAAGACATTTCCAAACTATTGTCATTTCAAGTGATTGCTAAAATAGGTTAAAAAATCAGTAAATGTCAGTATAGCTTCAGTCTTTTGCAGCTGATTCCGTTTATTCTTCATCTGTTAATTACTCGAGAGCGGCCGAAGAATGATGCCTTTTGAGGGTAATAAGCATTTTTAACCCTCAAAGAACTTGCTCATTGACTAAAACACACGTCTAATCTATACCTGTGACTCTCGTTGGTAGATACGGATGTTCATGACGTCACGGGCCAGCCCAAAGTCAGACACCTTACAGACCAAGTCATCGCCCACCAGCACGTTACGGGCAGCCAGGTCACGATGCACACACTGAAGGTATGCAGAAGCACAAGATCATAAATGGATGATACACAAGGTGTGAATGAGGATTGAAGAATCAGTTGAGGCAAGGTTGTTGATAAAACAACCAAAGGCTCTTCAAAAGGTATTATCAGGAAAGGGAATTGAGCAGAATGTAACAGATTTTGAAGAGAAGTGAGTGGGTTCATTTAGGGCTTCGTGAATTAAGTGACTCAGAGAAAACTCACATTTACAAAAGGAGGCTGCCATTTGTTAAAAAAAAAGCTTGGCCTCCTCAACTTGTGTTGAGTGTGGGTGTATGGGCTCAACTGCAACTGCTTGTATTCGTCTGTAGGACGAAACCCAGGGGAGGACAGAAAATGAGCTATGTCGGTGCCCTGATGAGGGATGCTGGAGCAGAGACTACGACAGAGCTGGTTCTTTCCATAAGGATAATGCAGATAAGAATTGCGAAAAGAGATCTTGACTACTATAGCGACATGAAAACACTGTGGGATAAATGACGCTTGTTTGTTCAATTATTCATTTCCTCATGAACATGTGTTGCATCTGAAGGTAGAAACAAGGGTTGGCTCTGTCACCTTTTGTGAGGATATGAAGGCCATGCCGCTCCCCACGTCCCTAGCAAATTTGAGCAAAGTCCGAGACAGAGATTTGCTGAAACTGGGTTGGTTACCA